CTGTTCAAGTCTATTATCATTCAGACTGGCACAGTTGAGAGATCCGTGTTGAGAAGAGACAGTGGCGAGCGAACGTTCCTTTCGGTAAATTCTCATCAGGCCAATACAGTTACATAGGGCGAGGTACAGTGAGTGAAACAAAAATCAATAAAAGTTAGGTTTTAAATTACAGGCTAGGCAAGAGCGGAAGGCCGCAGAAAGTTGTATGTGGTTAGTCAACCTTTGACCACGGTAAACGCGGAGCCTGAACAAGGTTCTTTTGGGCGCATAGGGTCGGTTTTCGTAACCTGATGGCGGCTGCTTCTGCTGTTGCTAACAGGCGTTGGTCCAGTAGCTTAGGGTAGCTCGAGGGGACCTTGTAAATCACACGAAATGCTTCAGTGGGGTCCACACGATGCCCTGAATCCACTGCATGCGCAAGGATGGCGCTATTTATTCTCCTAGTTTCACCCTTTGCCAGCCATGCGGGAAGGTGCTCTCGTATTCTTTTGGAAAGGCTCCGACTCGTAAGACCAATATAACCTGCTCCACAGGATCAAGTGAATGAGTAGAAGCACATTGAGGCGGTCTGAGGTGGCAGCCTATCCTGGCCTTCTCCGCGTAAAATAGGGTTAGTAGAGAATGATATGCGAACCCTTGCTGCTGGGAAGGTTCCCGAGACAGTTTGGTCAAAGCGTCTTCTCAGGAGTTCACTAGCAGCGTCTCCTTGGAAGGGGACTTTGAGGAACAACGTTTTCTTTTCGGCGGTTAGTGTGGTGGGTTTTGCTGGTCGTTCGGCAAGGTTCTTTGCAATGAACCCGTCAGGGTACTCATTTTCGCGAAGCAAGTCCTGGATTTTTCTAAGTTCCTCCTCAATACTATCTGTTGAAAAAATTTTTTCTAGCCCTTTGTGCCAAACACCTGACTAGATTCCGTTTTTGTTGGAGAGGCACAAAACTAGCGAAGTTCGTGTATAGTCCAGACCAGGTTTTATTCTGATAGACGCTCCTTCGGATGCTACCGTCAGATCTCCTGTTTAGGAGGACATTTAAGAAAGGAAGCGCACCAGCCGATTCCATCTCCAACATGAATTTGATCGACGGATGTGCCTGATTTGCAGCATTTATGAGGGCAGCGAAGTCGGTTTCTGTGGTTGCAATCCGGGTTGATTATTTGAAGAAGAAGAAGAAGAAGAAGAAGAAGAAGAAGAAGAAGAATAAGAAGAAGATGGGCTCTTCGGAACAGGTTTATTTAAATGCTGATGTCTCAAAGAGCTTAATCAGTACTCCATTGCCAAAGCGCAAAATGCACTTAATCGATAAGAAATTTCAAGTGGCATGTTGTGTTGATCGGCCTCATGCTGATCGATTTTCCTCTCCTCTCGCTGCCTCGGCCTCTTGGGAGATGGTTGACGGGCGTTTTGACTGCGTGCTTTGTGAGTCGCAACTCCGTCGGGGAAGCTGATTGAACCTTTAACGGGCGGTCGGTCTGGCGGTTCTTGTTCTTCCTCACCGAGTAAACTCGCCGTCAGGCTATTTCCCTCCTGTGTGGTTGTTTGGTCCTGAGCTCTACGATTGTGATTACGTAGGACTTTGTAATCTGCAGGAATGTCCAGATGCCTGTTGGTAGAGTGGTGATCGGAGAACCACGCCTCGAGAGTTAGCCGTTCTGCTTTTGCGTTGTCCCGGCCTAAGATGGTAGCTCTCTGGAGATTAAAAGTATGCCCTGTTTCTCCAACGTGTGTTGCTAGTTAAGAGTTAGTGTCTAACCTCCGAGTGGCTATCATTTTAAACTAATTCTCTCACAAGCCACTGTTCTGCGCCCACAACTCCCTGTGACTCATTGTGGGTAGCATAGTTCTTGATTACCTGTCCATGCCCACAGTAGGTGGTCCAATTCATGAAATGCCGTGGTCGAAATTTGAGCGATAAGTATTTTGTGCTTCTTGTGTTGTTATTTGTGTTTGTTAAAATGATTTGAGACGCAGAAACCAATTTACTGAGGAGGGGTTCACTTCAAGTCAGTTTTATTAAAGGAAAACAGGCCAGATTTGGGTTAAATCCGATCTTTCTTGATATCCAGACAATTCCGAACGCTGTTGAAGCCTGTAGATCAAAACTTCACGTTTATGGGCATTGTGCTGTAAACGAAGATTAATATGAACAGGAAAAAATACGAAATAAATCCCGTCTCGAAACGGGAAATCCGATCTTGCTTCCATGAAAATCAGATGAGGACGGATTTGGGAGCTTGCATTGTTTTCAATAAATGAGGGCCAAAATCAGCTTATAAAATTCTTTTTTGTAAATTTATGGCATTTCGTGCCATAAAACCTAGTAATAAACTTGTTCGGTAGTTGTTTGTTTTATCACACCGAGAGCACATTGCGTCGATGGCAACTTTCAAGAACTGCCAACGGTTAGTGGTCAGGAGGGCGATTAAATTCGGAGAGCGACCAGTCTGGCCACCGACTGCAGACACCATCAACAGCAAGGTGTTCGTCAACATTGTGAAGGATATTTTCGATTACAACGACATCCACCGACGCCGACCGAATACCACCATTTTATACGGCAATGCTCCTGTCCATCGCTCTATGGAAGTACGAATCTACTAACGCCTTCAATCGTAATCTGACTTTTTGGACAACAGACAGCCTCTCTGCATGTGGCCTTCAGTCGATTGCCATCCCTGACAACAGCCCGAATCTCAGTTCCATCGAAAAGCTTTTCGCACTTATCAAAAGACATTGGCATAAGACGAATGCGAAACTGTCTATGCATGAAAAACTTGATTTCTTGCTAAACAGACCACTATAGACAACCTGACCATCTCCACGTCTGAGAGACTTTCTGCTATGATAAACGCAGATGGACAATCAACAAAGTGCTGATCTTTTGTATTTGTTATTATTTTCCAGTATTTTCACCATTTTATGCATTTGCCTTCATTATGCACCCTTGTAGTTAGCCCTATTTAAGCGATATGCAATACGGCCATTTTCTAAAATTCTAGTTTTCGGTGAAAATTTATTATTTTTACGTTAGTAAATATTAATTTACAACCCTGACTCTGGAGCTGCCAACTGTGATATACATGAAGTGGCCTGCAAATACATCCTATAAATACTGCAACACCTGGGCAATTTACCACCCTTATCCGACTCTGTCTCTGATGGGGGATTCGAGTGAGAATCCGAAACGTCAGGCTAATAAAGCTCTTGTTCCAGTGATCGTGCCTCCTTCTCCGCGATTAATTCCTGAAACTCGCCTCCTCGCTTCTGTCAGCAAACCCCAATTATGCTTTCTTTTTTGCTAACAGTCATTCTTTCGCTGCCGTTAGACTTTGGGGAACGCAGGTTGGGCGGATTTTGCGTTGTAGGGATTTTCTTGTGCAAACTCATGACACTGCATGAGTTTGCACACCTACTGTATGTACAGTCAAGAATTTCTTCTACACGCACTGGAGAAATGCGTTGTTCCAAACCGTTTATTTGGATATGGCATTCTTCTTGGCGTTTTTCAACCTCATTGATCGAGGCCATGGCAGCGAGTGCATGCTCCAGCCTTGGCTAGAAAATAGCACCCAAAGCCTCCTAGCTTAAATTCCTCTGCCAAAGTTTCTTTCCAGGATCGAATCCGTGTTTTCTAAACTCTACGTACTCATTGAACACGACTCGGCTAGTAATTAGTCGTTTATAGAGAATGGACCTTCACTGATGAGCCGAACCCCTCGCAGGGACATAATTCCGGCGAAACACGTGTCTGGGCTTTTAGCTAGCACCTTAGCTAGTACGGTATCCTGTAACCCCATATTCCTATCATAGTTCTACCGTCGCAAATTACAGGCTTCCGGTCTTGTCCCGAGTGCTTAGTTGTAACCTACGCGTGTTAGGTGAATTGTTATGTGCACCTAAATCGGGCCAGGCGATAGATACGCTTGACCAACACGTGAGCTACATCGGATTCTAGAAGGCGTTATTAGGGTTACACGCTCATAACAACTGCTAACATTCGGAATGCGGTGGCAGGCCTACAGTAGGTGGGCTAACTCATGAAATGGCAACCGAAATTCCGAAATGCGTTTTCGTTTCGAAAAGATTGCCTAAGTAGGCTTGTGAAATTAATCATCGTGCAGCATAATGTTATAATAATTAGGCTATCTCAGGATGTCGGTTTTCGAAGGAACTTCCCTCCGGCTGCATGCGAAAACGAGACTCTGTAAAAAATGACTACTTATGTGGTATGCATTTGTCTATTTGATTTTCGACGCCCCTAAAAATTCAATTATATTTCGTAGAAAACATGCATAAAAATGTTTATTCTTTCGCTCATTTCGTAGAAAATTACGTACTTCCGATCTTATACTCGAAGGAAGGGTATAACTTGGTTTTCAAAAACTTTTCCAATTCCCGAGTAATTGTGAATCCGCTCTGCCATTATACTTGAATACGGAAAACCATACATTTCTCTATGGAATTAACAGGAGACCATATAGGTTTCATAAAATTTAGCAGTCGATTTGATCCTTATTGTTAACTTCAGAAGCTACATTGGTAAATGCAGGGATATGACGTTTTATAAAGGCCCATTTCACGGTATTTAAAAGTCTTATAATTAGAAACTTTTTTGAAACCGAATTATGTCCCTCCTTCGAGTATAAAATTGGAAGAAGACGTAATTTTCTACTAAATGAGAGAAAAAATAAATATTTTTATGCATGTTTTCCATGAAATATAATTGGACTTTTAGGGGCCTCGAAAATAAATGAGAAATTTTCATGCTACTTTGTGGTCATTTTTTACAGTGTGTAGTTTTTGCATGCAGCTTAAAAGAAGTTTGTTTGAAAGCCGGCATCCCGAGGTAACTTTATTATTATAGAATTGTGCCGCAGGCTGATTAGTTTTACAACCCTACTTAATTAATTCATTTTTTTAAAACGAAAACTCATTTCGAAATTTCGGTTGACATTTCATGAGTTAGCCCACCTACTGTAGTTGTCGACTCACGCCGAGCCAAATGGGATCCCTGACATCCCGCACTTTTGCTATTGTTGAAAATCCTGGTCAGTGTATTTTGTGGACCGGGTGTGGTGGTACGCCTAGATGCGGGTTTTCGTCGTGCCATCCACCTACCTTCTCTCCCGCCTCCGGTCTTCCTGATACCGAGTCTAGGTGGGAAAGGTGAAGAGAGAGTGTGATAGATATTGCGCAAGTCCACAATCATTATAAACTAACTCACGCGCATCTCACTGTCCTTGCGCCTACCTTATTCCGGGCATACGATGAACATCGTCGGACACGACGGTCAAGCTCTCTCTCTCTCTCTTCCTGCACTAGCAACGCTGGATGTCTACGAAGAGCGATGCAGCCGTATCGGGACAGGGGCAGCCTGGGGAGTGAAATATGTAGATTAAAATTTTCCCTCAAATGTCGCGCAACATTTTCTGAACTTCCCTCCGACCCCCCCCCTGTGCTTCCTCTATAGCCAATGCAACCGGTCTACCACCTGCTTACCTGCCCGCGTAATGGCCCCGTCTGTCCTCGCAGCAGTTTGACCTGGAGACAGAGAGTGACAATTAGACGACCCCCTCGGGCGAGTAGGTCAACCTCTGAACTCTCGTTTTCTTCCCACCTACTTATTAAGCGGTCAAGTGTTTGAACCAATTTTAATCATGGCTGTCCGGAACTGAGACGCCTGTCCAGCCACCCTCCCCCTCCCCCCTCCTTTGGGGCTGGAGGCAGAAAAGCTGACCAGAACAAACAGGCTCCGTCTGCGGCGGTGGTGGTCGTCGTCGTCCGGCCGTCCACACGGCGACTAAGCAGACAGAATCGGACAATAGGAAGCGGAAGTGGCCGTCGTTTCTGGCTTATTCATGTGTCTTCATGCATTCATCTATGGCTTCGTGTTCCGGCAGACTGACAGCCTGATAATTCACTTAGACCAGACTGAAAAACTCAGTGCCTCGGTGGGATCCGAACCCACGACTGCAAGGGGGGAGGCTTTAGTACAGCCAGCAGTCTAGCCGCCTGAGCTACGAAACCCCACCGGACGACGCGAGTTTAACCACATCTGGGTTAATTTTACCCGCACAACCTACTGCAACGTCTGGATCCACCAAATCTGATACAGTAAGCTAACTGCCCAAGTAGGATTTCCTAAGTAATCCATCTAGAATCCGCCAGATGACTACCAGGCTCACATAATGTGATTAAACCCGCGTCGTATGGTGGGGCCTCATAGCTCAGGTGGCGAGAGCGTTGGCTGTACTAAAGCCTTCCCCTTACTGCGTGGGTTCGAATCCCACCGAGGCAGGTCAAAATGACTTATTTGAAATCTACATAACACCTATGAACCTGATAACTAACAACCGTTGTTCGCTTCATGTCCATTTCCCTGAAACGACGGCTGTAAAATTCTTGTTGAATCGAATCACGCGTATAAGCCAAAAACAGATTTCGATGTATATACGGTACTATCGATAGAATAAGGTCATAATAAAAAAACGTACAAACCCCAACAATGGATACCCTAGACAAAGAATTCCTTTGTTACTGTTCGAGAAAATCGAGTTCCCAGCTCAAGGTCAGAATACAAAAACTAGTTAAGTAAGAGAACGCCGATCACGCTCGAAAGGGGGTTACAAAAAGGGGGAAGGGGAATGTCAACAGGGGTAAAATGTGGAAGCACTTGCGAGGAGGGCGTGGAGAATTCCAAGCGTTAACCAGCTGGATGCAACAACGGCCCTTATCTGCCAATTTATTCAACTCTTTTGATTGTTGTCTCACGAGTTCTGTCATTTGTTCTGCATGTATCGCCGAATCTATAAAGTGGTTGATTCCACTGTTGAGGTGGTCACTGCCTACTCAACCCGAAAACTAGCCCGCAAATCTGCCCGCGGTGACGGCTGAAAAGGGATCTCAATATTTAATAAACGATCTTGATAAGTCAAGACCGGCTTGGTCGTTGGATTAGACAAATAAACTTTCAAGTCCTGATAACTGAAGTGTTCATTTCATATCCATCGACTAAACACGTGAGAAGGCACCAGTCCTATTTATTATCACGACGAAATGCAGTCAGAAAAATGATCATGAGTCGTTGTCATGCCCTCCTCTTTAATCATTCTGCCCTTTGAGTCGGTGGGTCAGACAAGCAATTGCAAATTTCTGGCTGTAACCTTTTAATAACTTCTTAATTAGTAGCTTTATATTGCTGTAAGAGGTGCAGTTTGTCAGGCGTCCTCGACTATTTTGTCATATTATGGCCATCTAGGGGGGGGGGTGAAGGTTTCAAATGTATAGAAAACGCCTTCTGCGAAACGGTTTCGAACCGTCCAATCGCCGACTAGGTGCCAAACTCTCTAAGTCGCTACTATTTCCCTCTTCCAGGCGTTTGTTTGAACTAATCGATATTGGCTCCTTCCGGACTGAAGGGGGGTGCCAATCGCCGAGCCACATGGGTCGTCCCACTGACAAATATGCTGGGCGCAGAAGAGTGACTGCTCTGTCTACCAGACTTCGTGTACTTCTCATAGTTTTTTTTGAGTTACTAGTTGGAAACTTTGTTAAAGTAGACTGCCTGATCTCACACACACGAGGCAGACACTATTATTACAGCTCAAGACCATAGCATCTGTGTGCATATGGAGAGCCAGTGCCTCGAACACGCCTCACAGCACACTTCGGTCCTTCGAAAAACTAGTACAGCAAATTCTATATTTCCTGATCCTGAGTGGGTACTTAAAAAGGTTTGCCGCAAATCCCACGAAAAGTCTCTTTCAAAACTAAACGAGTCAGCACAGACGAACGGCTATTTGGCCTGTACAACTGTGCATCTTCATTTTTGGAGGAGTGATGGTCAAGTGAGAGAACCAGGGTAAGGAGGGTAGGGTATCTACGGCATGCAAAAAATGCCTACTGTGCTTGTTTAAGTAGACCGTGTTTTATTCATTACTCCTCTAAGCATGGAGTCGGCTTTCAGACGTTGCTCTTCACCTTATCCATTACCTACAATTGCCTGAACTGAGAAAACATCGTATCGATTGGGCCTTTCGTTGTAGATGTTGCTCCTCTCCTTAGTAAAGCCTCCCATAACCTTAGCTCAGAGAGTTTAGATGCGATCGTATCGGTCCGCTGGACTGTCGCAGACAGGTGCCTTTGGCCAGTCTACCGCTGAGATATTTTCAGAAACCGTTGTACGAACTGGGTCGTTCATCGTAGGGTCTAGTTTATACATTTGGGGGGCGGTGGTTTGGCTTCACTCCCTCATCTTAGGTGTTGCTCTTCGCCTTACCATTACCTACCATTGCCTGCGCTGAGATATTTCAAGTGCCTGTGGCTATCCTCTGATACGTAGGGGCCTTCAGCCTATCGTTGCCAGGACCAATTGGGGTTAGAGGGTAGGCTGCGAGGAGAGAAGGGGGGTGCGATTAGGTTAAGGGTGGAAGAGACGGAAGCAAGACTAAGGAACGTGGAACAGTGGGGAGAAGGCTGAGAGGGACTGAGTTGAGGAAAGGAATCTGATTGGTCAGCTATCACGAGACCAACTGGCAATATCTTATTTCGCAGCCGTACCCGTTAGGAGTTTTGGTTAGGGGTTTAAGTTATTGGTCGGAGTTAGGGCTTAGGTTTAGGATTTAGGGGTTAAGATTAGGGGTCAGGGTTAGGGGTTGGGGTTAGAGGCTACGGTTAGGGATTAGGCTGTGGCTTGTCTACTACACCCAAATATTACTTGTGTTTACAGGATATTACAACTGGTACCTCGTATTTCCTCTAGTATTCTTATCTGCTTCATGGCTTCGAAGAATTTTTAGTTAATATGGAAGGCAATCGGCACTTTATCTTGGCACGAATTCATCCGTGTTCGATCTGCCGGCCTACTTATTATATTAGATTATAACATTCCTTTCTACTTTTATGTAAGAGTAGTTGTTGTATTGCAAGTTATGTGATGATTCCCAGCATCTGTCATCGTTCCATCTCGTGTAACGGACACGTCAGCTACTGTGTCCAGTCTTATCTCCGGTTGGATTGGCTCTAAGAACGCACTGGTATATGAGAAAGTGGAATAGAGGGTGAGGTAGATTCAGGTGCGAACAACCACATGGGCATTGAAACGACCAGAACTCGTCGATTATCGTGGCTCTGAGGTTGCCCAATCACAGGGTGATTGGGTCCTGGCCAGTAAGGGGTGTCCTGCTTCAATAAATCCATCCTAGTATGACCTTATGGCAATCTCGCTTGACTGAGCTCAGGGCTTCCATCAGTTAAACCTGGCATAGAGTAGGTGGGCTAACTCATGAAATGTCAACCGAAATTCCAAAATGCGTTTTCGTTTCGAAAAGATTAATTAAGTAGGGTTGTAAAACTCGTCAACCTGCAACATAATTCTATAATAATTCAGTTACCTCAGAATGCCGGCTTTCGAAAGAATTTCCTCCCGGCTGCATGCAAAAACTACACTCTGTAAAAATGACTACTTGCTTAGCATGCATTTTCCTCATTGATTTCCGATGCCCCTAAAATTCTTATTATATTTCGTGGAAAACATGCATAAAAATATGCATTATTTCACTAATTCGGTGGAAAACTACGTCTTCTTTCAATTTTATACTCGAAGGAGGGACATAATTTAGTTTTTGAAAAGTTTCTAATTGTCAAACTTTTTAATATCGTGAAATGGCCCTTCATAAAACGTCATGTTTCTGCATTTACCAGTGTGGTTTGTAAAGTTAACAATATAAATCAAATCCAATGCTAAATTTTATGAACCCGACATGGTCTCCCCTTAATACCATAGAGAAATGTGTGGTTTGACGTACGCGGAAAAGACACGGCTTGTAGTTTGGGAACCCTGAATGCAAGTGTGACGGCAGGGCGGGTTCAAAATGATTTGGGAATTTGAAAAGTATTTAAAAGCCGAATAATACTCTCCCTTCGAGTATAAAATTGGAAAAAGACGTAATTTTCTGCTGAATGAGCAGAAAAATGAATATTTTGTGCATGTTTTCCATGAAATATAATTGGACTTTTAGAGGCATTGAAAATCAATTAGAAAAATGTATGACGCATAAGTAGTCATTTTTACAGAGTATAGTTTTTGCATGCAGCCGGAAGGAAGTTCTTTCGAAAGCCGGCATCCTGAGGCAGCTGAATTATTATAGAATTATACGGCAGACTGATTAGTTTTACAACCCGACTTAATTAATCTTTTCGAAACGAAAACGCATTTCGGAATTTCAGCTGACATTTCATGAGTTAGCCCACCTACTGTACATGTGTGAATTTATTGATCAGGTCGTGTAGTGCGCGTAGACAGACGGTTTAAATTTGTCCCCCATACACTCGCGGTGTGCCGGGGGGAGAAGATAATGAGACAGATTCAGTGCATATCTGCGTCATGGGGAACACAGCTTCATTTATCAATTCACGGCTCCACCCACCTCCTTCTGCAGTGCCAGGCCTCGTCGCTGCTGTCGGCCAAAATATCTATTTTGGTCAGCCCGACGCTGTCGCACTAAAGAGGCGGGCCTGAAGTTCTGCTTTCTGAGTATATGGGGCATCTTCGTGTCGAGATGACAGACACAACCATTAGTTTCAGAGTTATTACTCGTCGCCAATGATTCTCAGCCCCTACCATCCAGTGTGGAGGTTTAACTCAGACTCTCTTCTCAATAGGGACTCCTTTTCCATAGTGCACGTTGACACGTCGACTCAGCTGTGAGACATGGCTAACCCTCTACCAGATGGATTCTTGATTAAAACAACCTAAGGTTGACTGGGCGCAGTATGCTATTGACTAATGAGAATCCTCATACTGTATGCCAGAAGTGGCTGACTGGAAATTCATTTTTCAAGTGCGGCACTAGTGAGTGATATGCACTTAGGTCTTTCCGTTGTGTTCGGAGCATCCAGACAGTCCTATGAGAGTGCTTATACGATTCTTTTTAATCTATAATAAACAGATAAATTTAATATGAGTGGAATTTGTGAAGCAGAGGACTAGAGGGAAACTGGAGTCGCATGAACGAGATAGCGCGCATTCTGAGATGACATAATGTAAGATGAGGAGCTCTTCAAAAAAATAGGATCTACCCGTGAATTTGTAAGCCAATGCCACCAATCTCTTGTCAGACAAAATGAATACCAAGAGGTTGGCTTGTCACAGCGGAGCTTTTGGTGGTAAATAGGACATATCAACAGGCAGACAGCAGTTGTACAGTGCGTGACCGATCTCATTAAATGTTGGCCAAAATTCTGGAACGCGTTCCCGATTAGGATTACTTAAATGGGGTTGTTATACTGATGCAATTGGAAGGGCCGCCGACTAAGACAGAGCAGTTAGACTGATTGCTTCGGCTGTCGTCACACCTGCCCTAAGAAAAGAACTCTCTCCCAACCGCTCACTGCTCATAATGTAAGTTGGGCTTTATGTGATCAAAGCGCGAATCTGTTCGCGCATGCCAAATTCTTAAAAACCCATGAAAACATCTACTAAAATCGGGCAGTAGTGTAGTGGTTTGCGTTTTATATCAGGGAAGTTTCTTCCTCGTGTACATGGGGTGATGATGATGATGATGATGATGATGATGATGATGATGATGATGATGATGATGATGATGATGATGATGATGATGATGATGATGATGATGATGATGATGATGATGATGATGATGATGATGATGATGATGATGATGATGATGATGATGATGATGATGAGACGAAGGGAAGACGAGTTAAAATAAGAAGATAAAGAGTGATATTAAGTAAAACAATGGGGGTCAAGACTCCAATTAGGAGTGAGATGGACTATACTCTGAATTTGTTTCGTGAGTGCAGTCTGCGAGGATTTTCGCTGTGCGTGCATCCGAAGACAGAAAGGATTTTGCAGCCTTTTTGTACTCATTTTTAAAGCTTGTCGGATGGGAATGTCACATGCATTCTGTAGAATTTACAATCTATCTGGCATACCAGAGTGCTGTTGACACCCCAAAGTACCTGTGTTGATTCAGCGCTGAAGATTACGTCCTAACGCCTCGCCCCATAATAAGTAAGCGTAATTAACACAGATCTCGTATTGATGAGGGTTGCGCCTAGTCTTGTCCTAAAGGAGACCTTAGTCGGGCTCTTTTAAACACGAATCAGGCTTATTATAGTGTATCAATATTATGCAGGATTTGCATCAATATAATGTCCGTCTCCTATCTTATGACAGTGGCCAGACTGAATCTGACCGACAGCCCCTATCTAAGGGGAAAGAGGGGCTCAACCGACAAACAACCCGTGTGCTTTCAGCTGAGCAATTACCCTCGCCTAAGTCCCTGTTATCCATCCAATTTACATTTGTTTTTCACTGCCCATTTGGCACACCCCCGCCCCCCCCCCACCTCCAAATCATCAGCACTAGTAGGAGCAATGGCATTATCTGTATATGCTAAACTTGCCCGTCTTTATCGCCTGCAAACCCCACTGATCCCTCCAAATCCCCCTGCACACCGTCTGCGTGAGCGAGTAGACTACCAAGTAGGTCAGCCACACAAAATGTAGGCGGACAAGCATCACCCCCTCCTCTCCTCCTTCCTCAAATCGCGCGCCAGCTAAGTCGACAGTATTTAGGCTAATCCAGTCTGAGCTCAAAATATGATGAGTAGGGGAAGGGGCAAGATGGACTACAGTAGCATAAGGTCCGTTCTTCGATTCAGGCTCTAGCTGGCATGGGCGAGGGGCCCGGAGAATCGAATGCGACTAGACCATGCAGACACCGACTCCTCGGACAATAAACGCAAGTCAAAAAAGTCGAAGTTGCGTCTGGAGGGGTACAGTCATTTCCTCCAAGGGCCATTCAAGCAGCAGTTATCACGTCGCCATAAGATGCAGAAATTCGATTGGCTTTCCAGAAGACACTAGATAGAAACGCCAGATTCTACAGATGTTTTCTTAAGTGACCTGCTTTTTCTGACAAAATGTATTCACATGTGAATTAGAATATCGCCGAGTGTGGTTTACAGAGCATTGTCATGTAACTCAATTGGTGGAAAGTCAATTATAGCTGGATTTAGATTCTAGTATTGCGTCCACCGGGCTTGTGATTGAGTTACGAATGTATATAATTCATAGATGTTTTGGCAGATTTTGAATAATTCATATTGACCCAACTGTGGAAAACTCGACGCCTCGGTGGGATTTGAACCCGCGCAGTAAGGGGAAGGCTTTAGTAAAGCCAACGCTCTAACCACTTGAGCTACTTGGGGCCTCGTAGCATAAGTGGTTAGAGCGTTGACTGTACTAAAGCCTTCGACTTACTGCGTGGGTTCGAATCGCACCGAGGCGCCGAGCTTTTCCCAGTTGGATCAATTTGAATGTATAAAAGTCAAAAGCTACAACAGGAGCGTGCCATTCAGATTCTAGTCCTGATTTCGGTAGGAAATAGGGGACTTTCGCCTTGGTTTGGGGTCCAAGTGGGTCCTGACGTGACCAGCAGCCAAGAGGTATTGTTGGCAAATGACAAGAAAGGCAAGAGTGACCCAATGGCAGAGTGTTAACCAAAGAGTCCGGCTTTGAACAATCGACCTGTCCCGCCTAGGACTGAGGTACGGTCGGTTGCTGATGGCTCAGAAGTCCGGAAACGACCGTTCCATACTGTCTTCTCCCTGTCAACAACATTTCTCTGTCTCTATTCGATATCTCCGTATTCAGAAACGATCGACCTACGTGTTCTCACCGGCTACTAATCAATTATGAGAGGTGGTCACTAATTTCTCATCTCTTCAATAAATATAATGTCAACGGTATAGAGAAGGACCCCACTTAACCGCCAGCAGACTGTGGATCGTGTCAAACGTGACTTAGGATAAAGGGAGTTTTATGGGTAGGGCAGCACGCTAGACAGTAAGCTGACAAAATGGAAGTAAACGCAGAAATCGCCCGGATTTATGCCGAAAGTCTTATCCTACGCTACTGTACGATAATGGAAATGAGAGTGGTAATCAAACAATAAACAAAAAGCAAATTTCGCAAAATAATGGATTTTGAATTAAGGTGTGAGGCCGTGGGAAGTAATCGTTGTTGGCAGTGTAATTTCTGCAAAAGCCTGCAAACGTATGCCAGGATGCAACCCCATATGACACGATCCACAGTCTACTGACACTTAAGTGTGGTCCTTCTCTATGCCGTTGCCAATGTAATTAGTTAGCTTTTGACCGACGGTGTGCGCTTTTACGAGCAAGAGTAGGAAGGAGTTTTAGTGATGAACGCGGACAAGATAACGCAAACTTTTAGAGAATGACTATTATATCGTGTTCAGCCAAGAATACCCACACCATAGAAATCCGAGAACAAACGCCCTTCTGAGAACCATTTTAGAGGTCAACCGTTGAGGCTTCTGTATTTCGCTAATAATTGAGCTTGGCTGTTCTTTTGCGAGGAAGATCATTGCTGTAGGATAATCGCAGGTAGGTGTGTGTTTGCAACACAGCTCAGGTCTGAAAAACGTGAGGTTACGAAAATCAGGGAAATCTTCGAAGTGTTTGGAAACTACCTGAGACGAAGCCTTCCGGGCGCCGAGGGTAGAAACATAAGAAATGGCGTTCTTCCAATCTCCGCGTAATGCGTTTCCGGTTCGCCAGATCCCACACTCCAGTAGTAACTACGTGTTTTGAAAATGACTGGAAGCTGGGAGACATAAGCATCGCTACGAGACCAAGCGGTATCCATTCGATCGTTAAACTAACAGCGGCTCGATGGCATGACCTCACCGGTTGATGAGACCACACGACCCAGTCTCAGTCTACTTCGCCCTTTCCTTTGTTCCCGGTCCTAAGAGCATACCCCGGAAATCGGCTGGCCATACGTTTTTGTTCCTGCTCTAAACACGGGGAATCAGTAACTCTTAAGCTGAGCTTCCGATCGAAGCAAACTCTGGATGAGTAACGATCGGTGGATGAGCGAGCACAAATCACATCAGCTTTGTCACTAAGAAGTTGATTTTAACTACTCCTGATTGTTTTTACTGATACGCGGGGGGGTTAGCCCGAGCACGCAGAAAGGTTGTCGTATTACTTAAACCCCGAGCCCATTAACAATTTATCGCAGGCCAGTTAATTAAAAGTTCAATGGGATAGGCAAGTAAATGACTCCTTGTCGACCCAAAAGCGAGTGGTGTTGGTGTTGGTGTGTGGCACAGTCGGACACGCACATGGGCACGCGTGAGCCATAGGCTTTACGTCATGTCGGGCGCTGCTACGTATGTGAGGAATGAAGACTGCTCGAACACCGGAACAGTCTGTTTCTTGTTTTGAGCTGTCAGACTCGTGCAGGAATCCATCGTCAGAGATAGTATCAACAACAGAACAACCAACAGTTATAAGGTGTGTTAGCCAATCATCTTTCGATGACGCAAGACTGGAGATGACTGCACAGGCCTCTATTCACCGACGCCAGATCGATAACTCGGTTGACTGAGTTCTCACCCGAGGCCCAGGCCTCAATCAATTCTCGGCCTGTTTTGGTTCCGTCATGAGCGGTTATCTTGGTGGCTGCGAAGTTAAACTCGTGACCCATTTCGCTCGGAAGCAAGATATGCCGAGACCTGATTGAAGACAAGACCTCGGATGACAACACAGTAAACCGATGTATCGATCTTGCGCCAGCACATAGAGCTCTGCATAGTCACCCCAGACCTCCGTCTCTGACATTTGATTGGTTAATACCCCCTATAACTGCCGGTTGTTCAGTTATTGCTTTTATAGCTAACGCAAGGGCTTGAAATCTCAGAAAATCTAGCAATTTGTTCCGGTGTTCGAACAGTCCTCTTCTCTACTCACAATTAAATAGCACAAGCGGCATACTGTCAAAAGTTTGCTACAACGAGTAAAAACACATTGTTCTGATGAAAAAAGCTACCAAGTTGATATAAATTACCTGTTCGAATCATTTCCTCAGAACGGTTACCCTTGAGATTTCGTACGTCGATCCAGGAGACAGCAAGAGTTAAAAGCAAAAGACCTAGATAGCTACAGTCAAGCGGCGAAAGTAAATACTTGGCGAATCCTTCATTACATTAGGAGTGTTGAAAGACATTTGAGAAAACACCAAATAAAAGTGGCGCACAAACCGACGACTACTTTACGCACTCAGCTTGTACACTCTAAGGATAGTTTTGGCTATCTTGATAAGAAAGAAGTCGTCTATGAGACTCCATGCGATGCCTGTGATGCTTTATATTATGGTCAAACGGAAGAATCCGCCTCTGCACGCATCCCCGAACATTAATTGGCAATTAGGAGGTAAGACCACCTGTCTCAAATGGCCATGCACACCCTTGATACTGGGCACACCTTCGCATGGGACAGGATTCATATCGTCGGAGTCTGCCCATCCAATAAAGGCCGAGAATTACTTGAAGCTACGCACTCCGATGAATCATGCATCAATCGGCACATTGAATTAGATGCCATGTACAGAAGTCTCAGGGAAAAGTGGAAGAGATGAAAGCCCATTAATGCAAAATGACGCACACGGAGGCCGCTTACTGGCGCAAACTCCGAATAAATATGGATTTGTCAGAAAGTTTGCAATTTTAACTGATTTTTGCAAATCAACTCAAGTCTGACGACGACGACGACCTAGGAACCAGCGTCGAAAATTTACTTAATAAAGTTCTTTCCTTTGTCCAAAGAACGTGCTTGCCCTCAAAGTAATATTGCCAACAAAGGCAAGGGAGACCGGGATGGTCATTTCTGACCTATCAGTCAT